TTTTTTTTTTTTTTTTTTTTTTTTTTGTGCTGAGCCAATTTGCCTGTTGAGTGTTAAACCTGAGATGCCAACTCTAGTGGTACCTATTCTAATTAAATGAGTTAAAGGTCAAGAGTTGGGTTTGAAGGCAGAAGTGGTGGCTCAGGTCTGTAATCCCAGCACTTTGGGAGGCTGAGATGGAAGGTATGCTTAAAGCCAGGAGTTTGAGACTAGCCTAGGCAACAAAGTGAGGCCTTGTCTCCATAAAAAATAATAAAATATCCAGGCACAGTTATGCACCTGTTGTCCCAGCTCTTTGAGAGGCTGAAGTGGGAGCAATTGCTTGAGCCAGGATTGGAGGCTGCAGTGAGCTATGATGGTACTACTGTATTCTAGCCTTGGTAATAGAGGGAGATCCCATCTTAAAAAAATAATAAGTAAATAAAAAAGGCCGGGTGTGGTGGCTTATGCCTGTAATCCCAGCACTTTGGGAGACTGTGGCAGGCAGATCAGTTGAGGCCAGGAGTTTAAGACCAGCCTGGCCAACATGATGAAATCCTATCTCTGCTAAAAATACAAAAAATTAGCTGGGCATAGTGGTGCACACCTGTAGTCCCAGCTACTCGGGAGGCTGAGACAGCAGAATCGCTTGAACCAGGAGGTGGAGGTTGCAGTGAGCCAGGATCACACCCACGGCACTACAGAGCGAGACTCAGTCTCAAACAACAACAACAACAACAAAAACAAAAAACAAAAGAGTTGGGCTTGTCTGAAATTTGAAAGTAGGCTGCTTCACATATGATATAAAAACTACCCAGTGGGAGCACACTGAGAGATAAGGACAAGAACACCATTCATTGATTCAATAAGTTTTATTAAGCACCTGTCACATACCAGGCACTGGGGATAGAGAGGTGAGCAGGATATAACCATCCCTATCTTGATGAAGCTTATGGTCTACTCAAGGCTGGGACATCTCTCTTTAGCCTACACACAAACACCAGATTCCTTTCCTTTCCTTGCATTACTTTTGCCTTGTATCTGCCTAGCACAGTACCGGGCACAGAGAAGGCACCCAATATGTTAGCTTTCTTTTTCCTCACTTCCCTTCCCTTCCTGGAATGTTCTGAAATCTGTGGGTCTGACCATTACCTTTGCTTTTCTTCTCCAAGTATCCTTGCTTGATTATGTTATCAAGTTCTTGAGCTCCTTTTACGATGTCTTCCATTCCTAAAAGGACCAATGGCAAAGTGCTTTATTGAAACCTGGCAAAATTTTCTTTTATTTAGGCTACTTTAGATAATTCACATTAATAACAGAGTACACAAGGGCAATTGCTTAAACACAGTACAAAATAAAACAATTTCTATATGATTGGAAGGAAAAGTAAATTTTCTTGCTTTTTCTTTCTTTTTTTTTTTTTTGAGACAGAGTCTTGCTCTGTCACCCAGGCTGGAGTGCGATGGTTCTATCATGGCTCACTGCAACCTCTGCCTCCCAGGTTCAAGCCATTCTCGTGTCTCAGCCTCCCAGGTAGCTGAGACTACAGGCATGCGCCGCTACACCTGGCTAATGTTTTTTGTATTTTTAGTAGAGATGGGGTTTCACCATGCTGGCCAGGCTGGTCTCGAACTCCTGACCCCAAGTGATCCGCCCACCTCGGCCTCCCAAAGTGCTGGGATTACAGACGTGAGCCACTGCACCCAGCCAATTTTCTTTCTTTTCAATTATATCTAATGCTAAAATTGCTTAAAACCATCTAAATATACATTAATTTGTAGTAGGTGAGGTAGCCTAAATATGTACTGATTGGCAGGAAAAGGACCCCAGAAAATTAAGAATTTTTTTTTTTTTGAGACAGAGTCTCTCTCTGTCACGCAGGCTGGAGTGCAGTGGCGCGATCTCGACTCACTGCAAGCTCCGCCTTCCGGGTTCATTCCATTCTCCCGCCTTAGCCTCCCGAGTAGGTGAGACTACAGGCGCCCACCACCATGCCTGGCTACTTTTTCTTTTTTTGTATTTTTAGTAGGGATGGAGTTTCACCATGTTAGCTAGGATGGTTTCAATCTCCTGGCCTCGTAATCTGCTCACCTCGGCCTCCCAAAGTGCTGGGATTACAGGTGTAAACCACCGTGCCTGGCCAAAATTAAGAATTTTTTTATGGATATAAGTTCCAAATTGGATAAACCTCACTGAGATAATCAAAAGTCAAATGAATAACTACCAGCACAGACAGCTTTAATGAGTAATAGACTCCACCATAAACATAGTCACCTAAGAGGGAGCAATAAACACACACTCAATTTTTTTTTCTTTCAATAAACAGCCACCTCTGTGAACATAAATTTTTTTAAGTTCATACAAGAAGGGCTATGCAAGCTGAACTTAGCAATAACTGCCAAATCCTGATTTCTTAAAAGTATGGGAAAGAGGCTGGGCCCAGTGGCTCACCCTGTAATCCCAGCACTTCGGGAGGCTGAGGCAGGCAGATCATGAGGTCAGGAGTTCGAGACCAGCCTGGCCAACATGGTGAAACCTCGTCTCTACTAAAGATACAAAAAATTAGCTGGGCGTGGTGGCGCACACCTGTAATCCCAGCTACTCGGGAGGCTGAGGCACGAGAATTGCTTGAATGCAGGAGGCAGAGGTTGCAGTGAGCCGAGATCATGCCATTGCACTCCAGCATGGGCGATAAGGCGAGACTTCGTCTCAAAACAAAACAAAACAAAAAAGTATGAGAAAGAATCTAAGAACTGTAGAAGGCTTCACAATACCCTGAAATTTACATCAGCCTTTAATCGTATGCTGCTAACATTCTTGGCTTTCAATTAGCCTGGTTAGGTACAAATTTATTGAGAAGTCAAGATCCTAATCCATCTTCCTCCACTGGGGTTTGTACTTACTTCACAGAAGGGAGGGACAAAGGATAGAGACAAAAAGGAATTTACTTCTCAAAAAATAAAATGAAAGAAAAATGAAAAATAAAAGCCTCTTTTAAGAACACACTCTACATTTCTTAATTAGGCAAAATGAAGGTGTATAACTGTATATTTTTAAACGAAGAATGTTGTTTTTACCTAAATCAATCTGGCCTGGTATATGACAACATAAAAAACTCAAGGATAGAGTCCAAAAACTCGCCAGCCAAGCAAATAATTATGCTGAACCCCCTCTGACACTCTGTAATTGGATGTCCCTGGTACTCCCAATTCTTAGTCCTTTAATACCTGTTTTTCTCATTATTCGGACCTTGTGTCTTTTGTTTAGTTTCTCAATTCATACAAAACCACACTCAGGCCGTCACCAGTAATTCTATATGACAAATGCTCCTTCTAACAACCCCACAATATCATCCCTTACCCAAAAATCTTTCTTCAGTCTAATCTCTCCCACTCTAATCCCTAATCCCGCTTGAAGCAGCCCTGAGAAACATTGCCCATTATCTCTCCACACCACCCCCAAACATTTTTGCTGCCCCAACACTTTACCACTATTTTGTTTTATTTTTATTATTAATATAAGAAGACAGGAATGTCAGGCCTCTGAGCCCAAGCTAAGCCATCATATCCCAGTGACCTGCATGTATACATCCAGATGGCCTGAAGCAACTGAAGATCCACAGAAGTGAAAATAGATTAACTGATGACATTCCATTCCATTGTGATTTGTTTCTACCCCACCCTAACTGATCAATGTTCTTTATAATCTCCCCCACCTGTAAGAAGTTTCTTTGTAATTCTCCCCACCCTTGAGAATGTACTTTGTGAGAGCCACCCATGCCCCTAAACCTACAAGAACTCATGATAATCCCACCACCTTTGCTGACTCCTTTTTCGGACTCAGCCTGCCGGCACCCAGGTGAAATAAACAGCCATGTTGCTCACACAAAGCCTGTTTGGTGATCTCTTCACATGGACACGTGAAAGATAAGGTAATTGGGCTAGTGGTATTTTAGCATTTACTCCTTTTAGTCCCAGAACCCAAATCTCTTTTGGATTGTCTTAAATAATTTATGAAGCAAACCAAGTACAAAACAAAGTAAGGTATGACTACATATGAATCAACTGGGCCACCTATACAGTATCTTGAGAGTTATGATTGAAATAACTTTTTTTCAAACAATTGTTTTTTGAACATTTCTTACAGTAACATTTATTCAATGGTGGCTATGAGCTGGCACTTTGCTCAGTGCCTTTCCTACTTTTTGTTTTAAAATAACATCTATGACAATTTAAAATGCAATCAAAATTACATTTTACTTTAAAGCTGTTTCAAGCTTAGTTATAGAAAGGTAGATCAGAAGAGCCTCTTTTTCTGTTTTTAAGTGTGTCTATGTGCCAGATTTTTTATCCAATTGGTCCTTATTGTTAACCTCCTTATTCATGAACTACTTTCATTTGTGTGTTTCACAGTTAGCAAACTATGTGGTTGCCATAAATCCTTTTAATCCATCTCAGGGTGCACGTGTAAGATGAACAGCAGCAAAGGAAAGTTCATTTTTCTAGGGTTCTTTCATTTCTCCTACCCCTCTGGAAACAACCTCCAAGGAAACAGTAGCAGATTCTACTGAGGGAGAGGCATTGCGTGGGGAGAGGACCAGTTATAGAAGAGAAGACTCTCTAAGTGCTGTCAAAAAATTGCTCCTGGGGAGGCCAGGTGTGGCACAAACCTGTAGTCCCAGCTACTTGGGAGGCTGAGGTAGGTGGATCCCTTGAGTCCAGGAGTTCAAGGCTGCAGTGAGCTGTGATTGAACCACTTCACTCCAGCCTTGAGTCCAGGAGTTCAAGGCTGTAATGAGCTGTGATTGAACCACTTCACTCCAGCCTGGGTGACAGAGCGAGATCCTGTCTCTTAAAAAAAAATTCCTCCTGGAGGCCTAAAAATTAAATGAAAGACATAGGGAGATGAGGAAAACATGATCCCATAAACCGTGAGTTTCCATCTCTTCTTCCCACAGGTTTTTTTTTTTTTTTCTCTTTTCTTTCTAAAGGTCTTGTTAAACTTAGAGACACAGCTCCTTGTTAAAGATGCCAAGAGTCTGAATCATAAAAGACATGTTAAACGTTCTATTAGAATTCAAACCTCCTTTTTTAATGCAAATTTAAATGCCATTTTATGGAACATCTATAATTATGAAAATAGGAAGACATTGCCTCGTGTGCAGGGAGAGTCTGTGAGTATGAATATTACATTAATGTGCCCACACCAGCTCACTGATCCTGCTGGCAGGAGCATAAAAAATGCTTGAGTAAAACTTTTATTTAGATGTTAAGACTCCAGGCCCCAGCGGGGTGACAGAGACAGCCCCTGTGAGTTGCCATCAGAGAGAGAGCTTGAATTGAATTACCCAGGGGGGAGGAAGTAGTGATGAGCACTGCTTCGCTTATTTAATTTCATTTACTTTCAGTACATTATCAGCATGAGGCTTTTCTCTCCCCACCAACTGAAACCCAAGAATGCCACCACCAAGAAAACAAAGATATAATGCAGCAGAGATGTAACTTGAAGTCACTAATTCTAGGAGACAAGGGACAGCACCATCACCACCTTCTCTCCCCAAGAGTCAAACTCAGTTTGTTAAAATTGTATACTGAAAGAGTTGCTGAATTTTTTCTCTTTGTCATTCACTAACAAGATTCTGAAAAGGAATATAGCTGGAAACAGTTTTTTATATCCTGTGTTTTTGTGTGTAGTCAGTAAGATGTGTTATGTTGCTTTCTTTCTTTCTTTCTTTTTTTGAGACAGAGTCTCACTCTTGTCGCCCAGGCTGGAGTGCAATGGTGCGATCTCAGCTCACTGCAACCTCCACCTCCCGAGTTCAAGTGATTCTCTTGCCCCAGCCTCCCGAGTATTTGAGATTACAGGCATGCACCACCACACCCGAATAATTTTTTGTATTTTTAGTGGAGATGGGGTTTCTCCATGTTGGTCAGGCTGGTCTCGAACTCCTGACCTCAGGTGACCCAGCTGCCTCAGCCTCCCAAAGTGCTGGGATTACAGGCGTGAGCCACCGCACCCAGCCTATGTTGCTTTCTTATTCATTAGACAGAATCTGTATTGAGGAACTCTCTAGACTGGTTTCCCTATGGGCAGTGGGAAGAAATGGGATTATAGGCTAAGTTTAGAATGTCTATGGAAAAAAAATTGGGAAATGAGGTCAGATCAGTCTCTATTCTACTAATTGTCTTCTATGTACAAGGTACTGTGTGTTGAGTCCAATAACAGAGTTG